TTCAATACTTAGGACAAATCCCCAACTTTGCTATTGTGGTCTTAAAGGTGGTTCTCAAATCACCAATAAACACCTTAGAGAATAGTCCCTTTTTAATATTAGATAAAAGGTTCAGATGTAGTTCACGATTTTCTGGGATCGTCCTTAAATTTAATTCACATTTTTTTTCCTCTAGAGAACATGTGAAAAATAATGTCAACAAATAGCTTATGTGTGTGTCAGTGAGCTTGTAGTGAGCATGTCTACTGCGCTTGAGTGTGTGTCAGTGAGCATGTAGTGAGCATGTCTGTAGTGAGGTTGTGTGTCAGAGAGCTTGTAGTGAGCTTATTTGTGTCAGTGAGCTTGTAGTGAGCATGTGTGTGTCAGTGAGTCTGTAGTGAGTTTGTGTGTGTGCTTTAGTGAGCATTTCTGTAGTGAGCTTGTGTGTGTCAGTGAGTTTGTAGTGAGCTTCTGTGTGTGTGTCAGCGAGCATGTCTGTAGTGAACTTGTGTGTGTCAGTGAGTTTGTAGTGAGTTTATGTGTGTCAGTGAGCTTGTAGTGAGCATGTCTGTACTGTGCTTGAGTGTGTGTCACTGAGCTTATAGTGAGCTTGTTTCTGTCAGTGTGCTTGTAGTGAGCTTGTCTGTATTATGCTTTTGTGTGTTTTAGAGAGCTTGTCTATAGAGAGCTTGTGTGTGTCAGTGAGCATGTAGTGAGTTTGTTTGTAGTGAGCATGTCTGTAGTGAGCTTGTGTGTGTCAGTGAGTTTTTAGTGAGCTTATGTGTGTGTGAGCCTGTATGTGTCAGTGAGCATGTCTGTAGTGAGCTTATGTGCATGTGAGCTTGTGTGTGTGTCAGTGAGCTTGTAGTGCGCATGTCTGTAGTGAGCTTGTGTGTTTCAGTGCATTTGTAGTGAGCTTATGTGTGTGTCAGTAAGCTTGTAGTGAGCTTATGTGTGTGTGTGAGCCTGTGTGAGTGTCCGTGAGCATGTCTGTACAGGCCCCAGGGAGAGTGCGCAGCTTAGCTGACAGGGGCACATGTATGAGTGTGGCATGGATGATGCATGGTTGGCTATATTCTACATCTATGAGTGTGGGATGGATGGTGCATGATTGGCTGTGTGCTACGTGTGGGAGTGTGAGATGTGAGGAAGTGGGTGGTGACAAAGCAGACTGACCTCAGTGCCACTTAGGAGCCGGGCCAGCAACAATTTTCCCGCCCACCCTCCCTTTGCTGCTTTGGGCCCGGGTGGTTGTCACAGCGAGGCGGGGCATGTCCTTGCCAAATAAGGGATGGTAGATTAGATGAAATCCTCTCATCCTCCCCGTCTCTTATGGTGAACCTGGAGGAGGTACCAGGTTGGACGTGTCCCCACTGGGTTGTAAGTCGACCGGTGGGGAGCATTATGGTTGGGCCCCACCAAGCGCAAAATCGGCTGGTGGGGAGCCCTGAAAAGGAAGAGGTTTTTATGCCCGAGGGGGAGAGGTGAGAGCCTTGGGGAAGTTAGATTGGCAAGGACGGTTTTCTTGATTACTGTATAAAAAGTGTTTATGTTAATTTATTATGTTATTTGTTTAAGGAGTTATACAGTATTTGGTGATGTTAATAAATGCTGTGGCCTGTTTTTCCCAAGAAGTTGTCTGTCGTTATTTGAAGGGGTAAGTTATGGTTTTTATGAGGGGAATGCTATCCAATGCCCACTACGTACATACATTTGCTTGAGTGTGTGTTAGTGAGATTATAGGGACATTCTGTATGTCAGTGAGCATGTCTGTAGTGAGCGTGTGTGTGTCAAATGAGCTTGTCTGTATTTGTGTCAGTGAGCATGTATGTAGCGTGCTTGTGTGTGTGTCATTGAGCTTGTCTGTAGTGAGCTTGTGTGTGTGTCATTGAGCTTGTCTTTAGTGAGCTTGTGTGTATCAGTGATCTTGACTTGAGTTAGCTTGTGTATGTCAGCAAGCTTGTCTGTAGTGAGTTTGTGTGTATCAGTCTGTAATGAGCTTGTGTATGAGTAAGAGAACTTGTGTGTGTTGTGGAGCTTGTCTGTAGTGAGCTTGTGTGTCAGCCTGGAGGGTGGGTATTACAGCATTACATGAGTGAGGGACTGCGGGTAAGAAACAATATAAAAGCTCCCAAAGCACATTAAGATAAAAAACACAAACACTCTGTGGCACGATGAATTATAAGGCTGGAATAAAAAAAATTCCAGGGCTGCTTTCTGTTCCAAGTCTGGCCCTGGTGCAGGGTTAAGGGTGGTGGGAGTTGGCACCCAGACCATTTCAATGGGCAAAAGTGGTCTGGATGACTGGAGTGTCCCTTTAAGCAAAGCATGCTGGCTAAAATAGTACAGTGACTAAATGCCTGGTTATTCAGTTAGGGTGGAGTTCTATAGTTCCTGTTAATTATGAGTCACAGCCTAGAGTTTTCAACTGGTAGTCACTCATTAACGTTTTCATTAGAACTGACTTGTAATGTTTATATCCCTCACCCTGTACCGTAATCCAGAGGTCTTGGAATGAGGGTGTGAGGGTGTTCTCAAGCCAAGCATTTATTTCCGCCTTGACATTTACTGCTTTCTAAAGAACTGATAATGGTAGCTATGCACTACAGTGGGATCATCCCTGGCAAATTCCTTTTGAGTACAAGGAATGGTGTGTATTTATGTGCTACGGACACATGTCATGAACTGAGCAGTGATAATTCAGTCTCCTATTTTTTAGATTTGCTCATATATACAGGTAGTAGAATTGCAAACAATGATTGATAGGGTTTATAAAATTATGTAGGAATTGAGAAACTATTGCCCTGAGAGAAATATAAGATACCATATTAATAATAAACCTTTTATTTTATTTTTATAATTTTATTAAGCGTCTATGTTAAAATGAACCTATCATATATATTTCAAATTTAGATAAATCCCACCCCCACCCCAATACATTTAATACATCATATATCATGGAGACAGGCCCGGACTGGCCATCGGGCACACCGGGCAAATGCAGGGCCGGTGCTATCCGAGCGCCGGCCCCACTGTGTTCCAAGAAGGGCCGGTGGGGAGATCAAAGATCTCCCTCACCGGCCCACATGCGCTCAAACGCAGCCGCCGGCTGGGAGAGAGGGAGGGAGACAGCCGCCAGGAGAGAGGACCCGGCGGAGCTCTAACTTGCAGCTCTGCCGGGTTTCTCTCGCGAGATCCGGACCGTTGCTATGGCAACCGGCCGGGTCTCGCTAGAGTTCACTTACCACGAGGACCACCAGGGATGGCTGGCAGGAGCACGACCTCCCCCCCCCCTTCCAGACTACAGGTAAGAATGGGGGGGGGGATATAATGTATTTATTATTATTTGTATTTATTATTATTATTTATTATTATGTATTTATTATTATTATTTTTTAGTAAAACGCCTGCCTCCCCCCAATACAAAATCCTTGTACAATACAAACACACACATCACCCTCACCCAGCACCCTAACATTGACACATCACCCTAACACACACACAGCACCGTAGCACTCACACAGCACCCTAACACTCACACAGCACCCTAACACACACACAGCACCCTAACACCAGCACCCTAACATTGACACATCACCCTAACACACACACAGCACCGTAGCACTCACACAGCACCCTAACACACACACAGCACCCTAACATTGACACATCACCCTAAGACACACACAGCACCCTAACACATACAGCAACCTAGCACACACACACACACATCACCCCAACACATACACAGCAACCCAACACATACACAGCAACCCAACACACACACAGCACCCCAACACACATGACAAAACACACCCTATCTGGCCCCGCCCTCTTTTCAGTGGGCCGCTGTAATTAAAAATGCCCGGGCCAAATTTTTTTCCCCAGTCCGGCCCTGCATGGAGATACATGACATAGTCAATGTAAAATATCAATATATATATACTAACATTCCCCTCAATTCAGTGCCGCTGTGCCCTGAGCTTTGCGAGTGTTCATTTTCTTTATTTGCCAGTATGCCGGCATCTAACTTCATTTTTTTATATTTTTTTGCTTATTGATTTTCAAAAGTTCAAATAAAAAATAAATATAATATACATGGACTAATAGACAAAACAAACCCAGTATAATAATTAACAAGAAATTGACACTTTTATAAATTAACTTTGTTACTTGCCTCTGGCTATAGAGCAGACAACCAGTCCTGTTGGAGCTAAAAAACAATCTGCTTAGAGTAGCTTCTAATTGAGCTGTATTGGGAAGTCTGAAATTGGACAGCCACAGAAAGTCTGGGTGGGGTTATAAGGGGAGAGCCTGCAACAGCTGCAGACAAGAGATCTGCAGGTTTATCAAGCTGCTTTTAGATATATCCACAATGAAAAAAAAAAGCATAATAAATGCATGCATGTTTTAATTGGGTGTTTATTTACTAAATTATTTTTTTTAACCCTCGGCGCAATGTGAGTAAGAACAGGATCGGGTGCATTGTGCGTAATAGGCCACTTTTTACAAAAACAAACTTTTTACTCAAATAAAACATGTTTATTATTCCATTTGCTCTACAACATTGGCGAAAGCAAATTCTGAGATTTTATTACAATAAAAAGTAGCATGTTCCATACATTCCATACGTTTACACTTGCTGCACTCATATCTTGATAAGCGACGTCGTCCTCTATCCATAGTGCATGTAATGCACCTTCTCCTCTTGCTAGGTGTTTCCAAAGCTTCCTCTTTATTTTCTTCTACATTTTCACAATTATGAAATCGTTTCAGTTTTGATTGTATATGCAGCAGAATGCCGATTGATTTTTCACTTCGTCTTTGAAGTTCATCTAACGTAAGTTCGTAAGAAAGCTGCTTCAGAAATAGACGCCTTTTTATTGGTTTCAAATCATTTCCCAGATAAATTATCTGCAAATTTATGCCAGCAACATTCAACATGGTGCAGAATATATTCATAGGCCAACGTTTTATATTCCTTGCAACGTTGAACATAGCACACATTTTGTCAACATTGTCTACTGCTCCCTTTGGAATTGTAAAATTGTAATTATCAATGGTTTCTTTTTCTCGCCTGTTTCTGAATCAAGAGATTTATCGTGATGAAAGCTGGACACAAGGATAACAGTATTGTTCTTCTTCGGTACGTATGATACTAATGTAGTACCGCGATTGAATCCAAAGCTACTTGAATACACTTCCCTAGATTTCGTTGTGACAAATTCAGGTGGCAGCTCTCTTTTGTTTTTCTTTACTGTGCCAACGTAGGAAAGTTTCATCTCTTTCAGTTCTTCCACTAAATACAGGGCTCTATAAGCTCCAGCCAAATATAATATACCTATGAACGCTTTTATTTCAATGTCATCAGAAAGTTTGGCGTCTCGTTCACATCCATATTTATTTTTGATAATATTTATATATTGGTTAGTATATTTTACAATGATATCCAGAATATCTCCAGTGAATAAGTATTTCCAACAGTCAACTGGAGATTTTGATAACTTTGCGGGGCCTATAACGCCTGGTAACTGCTTCAACAAATTATGAGGCGTGGCGCTATTTTTCTTGTTGGGAATATCTCGATACCATTTACTGGACTTGTCTTTTCCGAGAAAATATGAAGCGTTATCTGTGCTGTCGTCATCGCTGAATTCTTCATCATTTTGTTCTGATTCAGAACTCTCAATGTGTGCTTCCATGTTATCTTCAGTCACACTATCGTCGCTTTCGTCTGAATCTTCAAAAATATTTCCATCATCTGATTCATCCTCTAGCATTTTCATCATATCCGCTACATCATTCGGATTATTGAAATGGAAAATTCTCTTTGAGTTGTCAATTTTTATTGCCGTATCTACAAAGAAATAGCAAAAATAGCATAGTCGGGTGCAATGTGCCTGAGAGGAACATCGTGCCTCATTATGGAGTTGAACATTATAACATTGAAAAACAATCAGGTATGGCATTAATATGCTTGAATTAATTAGAAAAATTACTTACCAATGTAATTATAGACATATAATGGTTATACTGCAATCGGGTGCAATGTGCCTAAGAGACACAAAGTGATGCGACTCAAACACACGATGTTCAAATGCGTACTGCGCATTATAGGTCGCTGCAGAATGTAAAAACAACAAGCTACTGAGGCGGCCGGTCGGTAACGAGTGCTCGCTTTGGTAGGACAAAACAACAAACATTGGCTGTGCCTGTTGGATCAGTTGCGCCTGACCGAGGGTTAAAGTTTTTCATTAAAATATTCCTTCAAATGTTTTTTTTTCCCCTGAATCTTTTATTTGCTGGCAGATTTGCTTGCACGATGTATAGATACAATGTTGTATTGTTTCAAAAGAGCATAAGGTTGGCATGACGGGGTGCACTTCAATGCACCAATATTTGAAGTGTAACATTTTAGTGTAGCATATTCTGGGCAGTAATGCAGTACATTGCTTACTTTGCCTTACAGGAACACTCCACGCACCATAACCAGTGGTAATTGTAATAGTCCCCCTACCCTCTTGCCCCACTTTTTGTAGTGTGGTTGTGCAGAATCTGGGTAAAAGATTTCATTATCCTCTACCTGAGTCTAGGAGAAAGCTGCATAAACAGGCTGATACAGGCAACAGGGCACAGTAATGTATGTCACTGGAACCCACTGCCTGTTAGCTGTAGCGTAATACAGAGGGGGAAGATGGAAGAAGTCCCTGCTTCCCCAACCACTAGACACCAGGGACTGATTTGCCTACAGCATCCTCTCTTTCCCCAAGTGCCCATAAAGGTAACTTGGAGTATTGCTGTGTGCCTGTTTCTGTATTTTACAGTTTATGTGGACTGCCACTATTTGTCACATTGTATGTGTTTGACTGTGCTCTATGTGCTGTCTGCATCTGACTGTGTGACTGTATGTGACATAGATTATGTGTGACTGTGTGTCTAGGTATATCTATGCAGGGCCGGACTGGGAAAAAAAATTCACCTCTGGCATTTTTTATCCACAGCGGCCAACTGAAAAGGGGGCGGGGCCAGATATGGTGTGTTGGTTCAATGCTCTTCCAGGGCAGTGTTGCGGTCGCCGGCCCGCCGCGTAGCACGGCCGTGCTCGACCGACACAGCCTCGCCGACAGCACGAGCTTACCTGCTCGTCGGCGAGCCGGCAACCGCTCCCCCAGGTCTTCTGGCGTCGCGCCCAAATTAAAGATGGCGCTGACCGCGTGGTCGCGTCCATCTCTAGCTCCGCCCTCGAAAATTATAATAACGTGCGCGTGACGTCACGACGTCAACGCACACGCAGGTTTTGGGGTCAGAGGTCGCCCTCTGACCAATCAGAGCATAGAGAGGGATATTTAAATCCCTAGCTCTCCCCAGTACCTTGCCCTGTCGTGGTTTCCTGTTCCTGGTTTCCTGAGAGTGCTTTATCTTTGTGAATCTAATTTCCTGGTATCCTGATCTTGGCTTTTCCCTGGTCATTCTGAATTCTGGTTTCCCTGACTTTGCTTGTGTAAACGGTATTGTGTATTTTCTGGCTTCCTTGACCTCGGCTTTCCCTTTGACCATTCTCTGTCTCTAGCGTATTAGTCCGGTCATTCTAAGGTCTGTTTTACGCTCTGTCCTTTTATTTTCCTTTTCCTTCTTATGTATATGTTTACATAGTTTCTGCGTGCTGGACCACACTAGTAGTCGTGACATTTCAACAGGGCCATGGATCCTGCGGAACTATGCAAACATATGATTGCCTGTGAGAATAGGGTGGAGGATATGGACCACAGGTTGGTTCAATTTGCCCAGGCATTTCAGACCTTGCTACAGAGAACTGCTTATTTGGAGGCACCTCCTGTACCACCTGTGATTCCGCCACCTGTAGTGGCTCCTGTGGCACATAAACCACCATCCATAACCCTTTCACCTCCCCCTTGTTTTGGAGGTGATTCTAAAGAATTTAGAGGTTTTTTAAACCAAATTGAATACCACTTTGAAGCTTCCCCCGGTTCATTCCCTACAGATAGATCAAAAATTGGCTATCTAATGAACCAATTAACAGGAAAGGCTTTAGTCTGGGCTAACCCCTTATGGCTGGGGTTCTCAACCCAGTCCTCAGGACCCCCTACCAGTCCAGGATTTGGGGATTACCTGGGTGTGTCTAAGGTGTTTAGAAAAAGGGAAGAAAAAAAAACCTTAGACTCTAAGGTGTTTTTTTTTCTTTTTCTAAATACCTTAGACACACCCAGGTAATCCCTAAACCCTGGACTGGTAGGGGGTCCTTGAGGGCAAGGTTGAGAACCCCTGCCTTATGGGAAGGTGGAAACTCCATAGCCCGTGATTACAGTGTCTTCCTAACAGCATTTAAGGCTACTTTTGAGCCTAAAGGAAGAGAAAAGAACGCTGCCAAAAGCCTAATGAGAATAAAGCAAGGCAGTCGCTCTGTAGCTGATTACGCCATAGAGTTCAGAACATTGGCGTCTGAGGTTGACTGGACCAATAGTGGTTTGGTGGCTGCTTTCTCAGAAGGTTTAGCTGAGAATATACAGGATGAGACCACAGCTAGAGACCTTCCGGTCAACCTTAATGACTTTATTGCTTATATGATAGATATCGATAACAGGCTCAGAAAAAGAGAGAAAAACAAACAACGTAATAGACGTCCTAACTTGTCCATAGCCCCTCGTTTCTCTAACCCAGTGGTGATTAGCCAAGCTCCACCTCCAGAATCTGAACCCATGCAATTGGGCATTACTAGACTCAGTGAGGCAGAGAGACAACACAGACGCAATGAGGGGTTGTGTATGTATTGCGGCAAAAAGGGACATCAAAGATTTTCATGTCCAGTCCGGCTGGAAAACTTGCACACCTAAGGCACGTTCGGGGACCAACCTTAGGTGTGATGTATATGTCCCCTAAATTGACTAAGAACCGTTTCCTTATAAGAGTTACCATGTCTTATAAGAAAACCGCTGTACAATGTGAGGCTATGATTGACTCTGGGGCAGCGGAGAATTTTCTAGACAAAGAATTCTCTGCAAAGTTTCTCCTACCCTTAAGACAGAAAGAGAGACCCATAGCAGTAGAGGCTATCGATGGGAGGCCCCTTACCCAGCCTCTCATCACACACGAAACACTGCCGATCACTGTCTCAGTGGGTATTCTACACCCTGAAGAGATGGTTTTTCAAATCATATCTTCACCTACGTGTCCGATAATACTCGGTTTCCCTTGGCTCCAGAAACACAATCCATGTTTAGATTGGGTTGAAGGAGAGATTGTGAGTTGGGGTGAGAGATGCAGAGGTGTTTGCTTAAAGCAGGTGCCACAACCAATTGGTACCATCAATATTCCCATTGCACCTCCCCTAACCACAGAAATCCCACCGCAGTATCTGGATTTAAAGGAGGTGTTCAACAAGGCCCAGTCGGAGGGGTTACCACCACGTAGACCCTATGACTGTGCTATAAATTTATTACCAGGTACTATGCCTCCCAAGGGAGGAGTATATGCTCTATCCCCCCAAGAAAACCTTTGTTTAGAGGAATATATAAAGGATGCTCTCAGAAAGGGTCATATCCGTAGATCCTGCTCACCGTTTCTAAAAAAGAAGTAGACCTGCGCCCTTGTATAGACTATAGGGGTTTGAATAGAATTATGATAAAAAACGCCTATCCCATTCCCCTTATTTCTGAGTTATTCGACAGGTTGAAAGGAGCTTGAGTCTTCACTAAGCTCGATCTCAGAAGTGCGTACAACCTAGTCAGGATTAAGGACGGTCATGAGTTGAAGACCACGTTTAATACTAGAATGGGACATTACGAATACCTGGTTATGCCGTTTGGATTATGCAACGCTCCAGCGGTATTCCAGGATTTTATTAACGATGTCCTTAGAGAGTACCTCCACATGTTTGTTTTAGTGTATCTAGACAACATTATCATCTATTTCCCAGACCTAGAGACACATCACGAACATGTGAGAACAGTACTCAAAACCCTGTTAAAGAACGGTCTCTACTGTAAGCTGGAGAAATGCCAATTTGACCAAACGGAGATACAATTTCTCGGATATGTTATATGTCCGTCCGGTTTCAAGATGGACCCCCGCAAGCTGGAAGCAGTCTTACAATGGCCGTTGCCCAAGGGCCTTAAGGCTACACAACGCTTCATAGGTTTTGCGAATTATTACCGCAAATTTATTAAAGGTTTTTCTTCTGTAATTTCTCCTATTACCAACTTAACCAAAAAAGGAGCAAATTGCAAAACATGGCCCAAAGAAGCGAGAGAGGCATTTGAACAATTAAAATCTTTATTTTCCTCAGCACCTGTCCTGACCCATCCCGATCCAACCAAACCTTTTATTCTAGAAGTAGATGCGTCAGAAACAGTAGGAGCCATTCTGTCTCAGAGAGAAAGTCCTGACGTGCTTTTACATCCCTGTGGATTTTTCTCTCGCAAACTCACACCTGCAGAGAGAAATTATGACATTGGGAATAGGGAACTTTTGGCCATTGTACTTGCCCTTAAAGAATGGAGGCATCTCTTGGAAGGTTCCAAAGAGCCACTTCTGATTTTTACTGAACATAAGAATTTGGCTTATATTGGGGACGCTAAGAGATTGTCCTCTCGTCAGGCTAGATGGTCATTGTTCCTCTCCCGATTCAATTTCATAATTACTTATAGGCCTGGGACCAAGAACATTAAGGCAGATGCACTGTCTAGACAATTTGAGACAAATGAAGCTCCTGAACAGGCGGTATTTCCTATCATACCTCCAAAATGCCTCATTGCCACTACAGTTTCCGAAG